CATAGGTTCAAATTAGAGACCTTTGTGAACCGTATTGTTATTTTTACGACCCCTATATTGCTTGAAGACCAAAGGAAATAGAAAGGCATTTTGGACATTTTACTTGAAATTTAAAACCCCCTCTCACACTGCTTCCTATTTTTTCTCTCTCCTTGCTGTCCCCCATCCTCTCTCTCTTTATCTCTCATTTTCCTCCCCCATCCTTGCTCTCTTTTGGTCGGAAATCTCTCATATGGGATAAGAGAGAGTAAGAGAGAAATAATAGGAGGACAACAAGGAGAGAGAAAGAATAGGAAGGGGGACAACATGGAGAGAGAAAGAGAGAAATAATAGGAAGGGAGGAGGGAAAATGAGAAATACTAAGAAGGGGGACAACAAGGAGAGAGAAAGAATAGGAAGCGGGACAGCAAGGAGAGAGAGAGATGATGGAGGACAACAAGGAGAAAGAGATGATGAGGGACAACAAAGACAGAGAAAGAGAGATAAAGAGAGAGAGGATGGGGGACAACAAGGAGAGAGAAAGAATTGGAATGCGTGTGTGAGCGAGAAGAGCTTTAAATTTCAAAATTCAATTTTTTTCAAGTTTGGAGGAATGCGTGTGAGAGTGAGAAGAGCTTTAAATTTCAAAATTCAATTTTTTTCAAGTTTGGAAGTAAAAAGTCCAAAATGCCCTTCTGTATCATTTGGTCTTCAAGTAATATAGGGGCAGTAAAAGTAAAAATACTGTTCACAAGGGTTTGTGTACCGCTACAGTAAACACCGAACGGCCTAGATCGAATTTGGACTGATCTGACGATCACAGATGTCAGATAGTGTTTTATTTTTCATTTTTGTTTACAATTCGGAGTGATCTGAAATTTAGAGCATGTATTCATCAAAAAATAGGCGAATCTATGAAAAATAGAAAAATGGGCGTTTACTGTAGTGGTATGCCCATGGGCGTACATGAGTTTTGTCATATATATATATATATATGGGTGTCTAGAGTTAACAACCTCTCAAAATACAAAGGTTCAAGTTAGGAGTTGTAATGGGTGTATTTATCAAAAAAATCATTATTTTTTTATTAAAAAATTATTTAAATAGGCAAATTTACCATTAAACAAAGGAAAATTTGAAATTTTCATAAAAATACAATAGTATTTTGAAAGCTAGTATCATGAAACTTTATTTGTAGAGTGCCTTTGTCTTTTAGTTAAAATTTCAATTTTATCCCTTATGGAAATGACAAAAGTACCTTTGTATTGTAGTAATATTTACAAAATTGTCTCACAAAAGTAACATTTTTTAAAAAATAATAGACAATACTAATACATCCACTATTCACAACTCTATCTTGAACCTTTGTAATTTGAAGGGTTGTAAAGTTTAGATTATCCCTATTTATATATATACATATATATAAAGATTTAGTACGCCATCTCATGTACAAGGAATGGATGCACCAATGGCCTGGATTATCCGGGTGTTTTTTCAACGGCATGATGGGCAGCGCTTGGGTTATGATTAAAAAACATATGCGCCCCAGAACAATTAATGCCATGTCAGGCCTGTGCCCCACCGTAAGGGAATGTTTAGCAAAGTATGCGAGATGGGCAATTAATGCCATCTCAAAGTTCCTCTCTCTCTCTCTCTACTAAATGTTTCCATCCTCTCTCTCTCCTCCCCCACCCAAACCGATTGTCTTTCCACTTGGCTTCCCTACACTCTCTCTCTATACACCCTCTATTTCTCTCTAACTCTCTCTCTCACCTACCCAAACCAATCGACTTTCCACCTAGCCTTTCTATACGTTCTCTCCAACCAAAACATCTCCCACCTCTATTGGCATAACCTCTATCTCTCTAGATCTCTCTCTCTCGCACGCAAACCAATGGCCTTTCCACATGGCCTCTCTGTACTCTCTCTCCAAGTACCCTCTATTTCTCTCTCCCCCACTCAAACGTCGACCTTCCACTTGGCCTCTCTATACTCTCTCTCCAACCAAAATATCTCCCGTCTCCATTGGCGCGCCCTTTATCTTTCTCTAACTCTCTCTCCCCCACCAAAGCCAATCACCTTTCCACCTCGCCTCTCTGTACTCTCTCTCCAACCAAAACATCTCCCGCCTCCATTGGTGTACCCTCTATCTCTCTCTAACTCTCTCTCTCTCTCCCACCCAAACCAGACGCCCAAAACAAGCCATTGGCGCACCCTCTATATAAAAGTATATGCTCTGTCATATGTGTACATATGGTGAATTTTTCAGCACTGTGTATATGTCTAACTATCAACATGTTAATTTTGTTTAAAACTCATACATATCTCCATCTGATCTACCTTAATGCGTAACTATGACTGCATAAATCAAATCTTGAGTAATTATTGGCAGCTCAAAAATTGTCACAATTTAATATTATGAGTAATTCGAGAGCACACCACATTGAGCGATGGCATATCAAGACTACCATCTTCTCCTCTTAGTTTTCTTCTAGAGTTAGAGATTACATTTTAGATGTCTTTTTGTGCACAATAAACATTATCAATTCTTCCAGATTGCTATATAAAAATGTCATGAATATTTCTGGCCTTCATCATTGCCAAGCTCATTGCACCTATCATCAACTT